GGAGCATGCCTCGACGAATTGCTGAAGGGTCTGAGGATTGGTGGAGCAATTACTCATTATTAAGACAAAAATCAAAAACGTCCATTTTCACTTTTGACGGTTATCTCTTTGCGAGTGAAATGGGGCCGACAGATAAGCCACCCATATGAACTGTTTATGTTCATGTGTAGGCCATTGGCCTGTTATTAACATACATTCGTTACCTCTAATAAAAACAGCAGTGCATTTCCACAGTTTTGTATTGTTTCTGAACATCCCCTACTTTTTTTGAAGAGTATATAATAAGCGAGACCATCCATAGACACATATACATTGTTCCGCGTTGCATAACCTTGATCGGTGATAAGAAATGGAATGATGTAATTGATGTTTAATGGCACGCCAGCATCAACCGGGCGATAATACGCCAGACATAATTATTATATAAAAATCGTTTTACTTTTGTTGTTGGCTTATCGAGAAATTAGGTTACATATACAATTAGTCTGATCATTACTCATTACTCCATTCAACTTTAAAATTTCTCCAGGCAAAGTCTTTAGCAAAGGAATGACTTATATTAACTATACAACCAGCGATTACTTTTGCATATTATGTTCCGAGTTATTATTGTGTACGCTTATTGCCTCCTTCCACATTTCCATCACGTGCAGTTCAGGATAAATTTGTATGTATCAAATATCAAAACGCTACAGCCCCCGGGGCCAATTAAATATTCAAGTCAGTTGGACAAACAACAGTGATCTTGGATTCCGTAAAAATAAAAGATGTATTCTACTGGGCCGAAACAACTTCCTTAATATCCAAGTAGGTCGAAACGACTCCAGGCCAAACCAACCTTCTCCCTCTTCGACTCTTCCGGATAACTAGGTCAAACATGGCTGATGTTCTGTAGCGCGATGTAAATAAACCACGATTTTTCACGACAGAGGGATTATATAGCTTGATCTGAAATTGATTTCCTCGTTCAAGAATGTAATGGGATGGCAATTCCTGGTATGTCACGAAGTTTTAGCGGTTTTAATTAAAAATTAAAGAAATGGCATGCAATTTTCGTGTCGTAGTGTCACTCGGAACAGACAGTAGATGGTTAACTGATAATGTACCACTTTTACCTTTAATCCCACGAATCCTATCCCATACCGACTTTCATGTGGTACGGGAATTTATCCTTGAGATATAACCTTGCCATGAAGACTTCTTTGCTTGAGGATTATTCCTTAGTCGTCTCAGGATAAGATCACGCTCTGTAAGAGCGGATTTACAGTCGTCATAATACCATGGTTACATCTTGAAGAATTTAAGTGAATAAGGCCATTTGCTTCAAATGAGAAGAGACACGCAGATTCAAAAAGAGTCCAATCAGCTTTATGCAGCTGCCACCTCTGAGATCTTTCAACCGGGGAGGGACCATTATTATCAATTAAGATAGGGAAGTGTTCACTACCACACAGATCTTCATTTACTCTCCATGTAAAATCCTAAACCGGAGAGCAAATGGGGAGATCGGGGGAAGAAAAAGAAACTGTGGCAGGATGTGGATAAGTAGGCGAGTCATCATGTAATAAACATAAATATTATTGTTAATGAAGTCCGCTATTTGTTATCATCTGGACTACCCCAGAGCGAATGCTGACCATTGAAATCTCCCGTAATTATAAACGGGAGACAAAGTTGTGCAACAAGGTCATCAATATCTCTGAGATTAAGGTGTAAATTTGGCGGAAGATATTGATAGCAGAGTGTTATAGGAATATGTAAAGTCACTCTAATAGTAGACACACTCCCAAGAGCTCTTCCATCACCAACTGAGTGAAGATGGTAACCAACAAAATGTCTAAACGACAAAGTGTCAGAATGTCTTGTAAACAAATAGCTAAATGATTGGACTTTTGAATTAATAGTTTGACTTCATTAAAATTTGGTTTTAAACCACGACTATTCCATTGAATAATGGAATTGAACATTTTCAGGGATAATTAATTTTTGAAGGCTTACCGACGGGGTCCCTATGGATATCCGCTACGGGAATACAATGAATGAAATATGGTTTTATGGCACGTCAGCTCCAACCGGGATATATTGCGCCAAACACATGGTGATTCTTTCGAGACAGTGCATCAGACCATCCCATATTTATTTAAGAGAACGATAGTGTTTTGGACCCTTTTTATCCCTCTCTCGCGACTTGAACCTTAAACTGCACCCCTAACACAGAGGACCTGGAATCAACAGTGTCAGCATTAGGGGAAAGCAAGGGCGGGAGCCCCCTTGCCAATAACTCCAAATGGAGGCAAGGGACATGTGCCCTCACCAAGAATGGTATCAGTGCTTTCAGTCGAGCACTCCCGAAATTGGGAAGAGCTCGAGATCCCTTTATTATGATCTGAAGTAATATATTTACGTTTTTTCACTTGATTAGGCTAGGTTATGTTTGTCTGAACAGATACGGATTTCGTAGATGCTTTAACAACACCCAAAAAAGATTTCCATTGTGGTGCAATGGGAAAGAGTGAAGTAAGCTCCACTTGCTTCCCGGCATCAAAGTTTGATATTTTCCGTTTAGACATAATCTGTTGAATTCGCTTCTCTTTCTGCCGAATAGGATATAAGCGAGAATAAGCAAAGTGCTTACCGTTGCAGTTGACAACAAAATTCCGCCTGGCAGGTAGCGCTCTCGTGGCCATCATAACCACATCGGGCGCAGGTATCTTTACCTCTGCAGACGGTTTTGTTGTAACCGAACCTTTGACATTTGTAGCAGTGAAGAGGGTTTGAAATATACGAATCAATGGGTATGTTTAAATAAACTGCCTTGAAAGTCTTTGGAATGTCGGGACGATTGAAAGTAAGGTTATAGGTGCTTGTTGGGATCACCTTATCTGCTCGGTGTACACTAATTCTTTTGAGACGCCTTGAAATGAAAGGTATTCTATCATTTCATCCTCACTGCTGCCTTCAAGATCTCGGCATCTAATTACACCTCTACTTGAATTAAGTGACCTATGTAGTGACACTTTGATGGCAATGTCTGCCAAGGACGTGGACTGGGGTAGCATGCTGCTCCTTTGCACATTCTATCAAAGGTGTTTCATTTTTAAGGTTTTTGATAGCTTTGGGCTCATCGGAAAATCCGGCAATACCTTTAGCTATCAAAAAAGGCGCAACTTTAGATACATGTAGGTCGGTACATGTACCTCAGCCAGGCCTTTATTATTTCTTTTTCATTTGTATTAAATAAGTTTGAAACATCCTCTGTATTAGGACGTTTCTGTTTATTGATTGGGGTGGGTGGGACTGGGGAATACATGAAAGTATTTTTTATTATCACTCCTCGTCGTCCCCCAGGTTACTTCCATGCCTACTAGAACGAGTACTAGTACGGATAATCGATGCGTGGCATCAGAGCTCGACGGGGGTATACTCAAGCCAGAAAGTAAAAATACTACTCCGACTTGATTGACCCCAGCCGCCGCTCTGTACAATGTACTAAGGACACAAAGGTAGGTAATATGCCGAGTGAATAAACAACAGAGCATTAAACTGGTAAAGGGTACACTCTACAGAGCTGAACGACCACAGCCGGTTGATCAGATTGGGCCAATATGACCCCCGTCTAGATGAACCATGCATAGGCGTACGGGCTCGATGATATTTAGGGGGCAGAACCCGAAATGCCCGAAAAAATTTCGGGTTTATTTGGCGGCCGCAAACGCGTTTTCCTGCTATTCCAGCCCGTGAACAAAGCAGGTTCAAAGTGGTCTAATATAGCATAGCCTAATTAAGGTGGCTGACTCGAATGCCAATCAACCAATCAATCGTTTACAGTCCACGAAGACGGGACCGTTGGGAGAAAATTTGAAAATTTAACTGCCGCAAAGGCGTTTTCCTGCTATTCTAGCCTATGAATACAGCAATTTCAATGTGGCCAATATAGCCTACCTGGCTGACCTGAATGCCAAACAACCAATCAATCGTCGCGGGGTATGGGGGCCTCGCCCTCCCGGAGTAAATCTTGAAAATTTAACCGCCGCAAATGCGTTTTTGTGCTATTCTAGCACGTGAGTTAAGCAACTCAAAAGATGTCCGAAATCCCACTATATGCCGACCTGAATTCCTATCATCCAATCAGACTGTTGCAGCTGCATGCACAAATAATAATCGATGCCCGAAAAATGTCGCACAAAGTAGAGTGGATCACTTTATTTTGCCAAGTAGATGAAATAAAAAAATTTTTTTTTCACTTTACCCGTTTGTCCGGAAGTTAGAAGGCAGATGTCCCCCCCCCCCTTCCTTGGCTCGTACGCCTATGGGCCAAAGTAATCCCCACTCAGTTACCAGGACTCCACTCTCCACCGACACGGATCGCAACGTACGGCAAATACGTTGCCCCATTACAGGGATCATTTTAGTCGACTTTTACGACACTCAGGAAATACGAAGGGTATATTCTTATCTCCCCTACACGCCGAAGGGGGGGGGGGGTGTCACCCAGACGAAGAGCGTGTGGTTAATATTAACGTAATGTTCACGATCGTGTGTTAATCACCGAATTTAGCACGCAGTGGCGACACCAAACGACTGCATAATGCTAGTTGCTAGGTTGGAGTGTCAAAATTTTAAACTTGTTCGATGTTGATGCTAAACATGTGAAGCATCAATGAAAAAGACATTTTTCGTCTTAAGAATAGAAATATAATCAAACAGATTTAAAATTTACGCGGAACAAATATAGAAATTGGATTATACATTGTCTTAATTTAAATTTGAATCTAATATACCACCATATATATTATTATTAACCCGGGTCTCTCATAGATTCGGTTAGGAATCCCCAGGTCTTTAGTTTTACTAGTTTTACTAGTTTTAGTGCCAAACAAAAAAAATATATTAATCCGTTTGAACGAGTTAGTATCTTGTTTGAACGAGTATTTCCCGATCTTCCTTTTGGGAAAATTCGATAAATTGGGAATAAATTTGTACTATATATAAATACTTACCTAGAATACACATAGGGTCAGCAAAACTTGAAACACAGATGTCCGCTAGAGCTAGATTAACGATGAACTCTTTGCCTACTTTGTTGACGTTCTTCGCTACAGCTGAAACAACCAGGGTCAATGTATTCCCTACGGTTCCAATAAAAAGTGCTACACAGAGTACACAGATATATAAAATAGCTAAAATTGGGTCGGTATCCAATAAAGGGGCCCGGGTTTTGGCTAGGGTTTCATTAGCTATTATTGGCAAGTCCCTTTCGATTTCAGTTGGGAAAATTGTTGTATCATTCATCCAATTGACCGTGCAGTTTGCCTGAAAATAGGAAATACACCAATTACATTATAAGTAACTATTTAGCACCTTCCTTCCCGATACAGAATTAAGTCGATTTCAGGACTAACAAATAAGTAGGTCTATACAAATATATCTTTATTTTATTAGTCAAAAAACCATGCTTGTGTGCTACAATTGTTGGATTCCTGTTAGGCTGGACAGGGAAAACATACATTGGGGTAACTCCATATTACCACCACCAGGACAGTTATCTGCGCTACCCATAGACCCCTATCTTTGTCACTTCGATCTGTTTAAAACCAACATCTAAAAGTCAGAAAATAAAAAGGAAACGAATCTGTAATATAATTTTAACTAGATTGAAGGACTGGGCACAATAAGCCGCCGTCTTGTATTTTTATCGGACTCTGTGAAATAGTGAAGTTGAGATTGCATCATTAGCAGATGCATGTTCTTGCCAATAATATTTAAAGACATATAACAACGTGCTAAATGTCCTATACATGAAAGTCGGGAAAATGGCTGGGCTTCAAGATGATCAACCAGGGTACATTAAGGCGTTAGTATGATATGGCTACTTAGCACCCCGCATATAACAATTCAATTAAACAAGTATACGCCCCTGTTTTAAGTTAATGGACTTTTGTTAACGGCGCAATAATGTGATTTAACACTATTTAAATAATTCATCGATTTTCTTGTATTTAACAACTTCCCTAATAGATAAGGCGAATCAAACAGAAATATTAATATTTATCAAAAACATACAGATAAATGAAATTATGCATGATTAAGTAGAAGAAAATCCAATCAACTGCATCTGTCTCGAAATGACACACGCAAAGCGAAATATACCTGCTTCAGATCTTACTGAAAACTATGGGTGCTTATACACCTTGTCTTTTTTCTAATAAAATAATGTAGCACAAATCGAAAAACACGACAAAATAGATAATGTGACACATACAATGCAAATTCTTAAATGGAACAATAACTTACAAATGTAGATGGGGGTTGTCAGGTCCATTAGTATGGAAGGGTATCGCTGCCAATATTAAATGCTCTGCGATTATATGTAAAAAGTACAATGTACAAAGCCCTAATACCGATAATGATAAAGTCAAAATACCTCAAAGGCAAGAGTTAAATGTAAAATATTAAGTGTTAAATGACAAATGGTTTGTAGGAAAATGCTTTTTTTTTTTACGTGACTACATTTTACATTTCGCTCACGGACCGGAGGCTCATCGCGGGGGGTGTCCATCAAATGGGCACAAAACCATACCCAACTTTTCTAGATTAAAATTTTGCGTAGAATACGATGCCGAGTGGTAATCAGTCCGCCGTTTTCGAGATATTCGGGGTCAAATGGGTTCATTTGCACTGAAAGTGAATGCGCAGTCATCCTTGTATCATGAAAATAAGCTGAAAATGATCAAAATTAATCACACTTTCAATAAAAATGTAAACTTGCTAAATTCACCTTTAGTCTTAGTGACCCTGGAGGTCAAAAGGTGAAATTTACCGTTTTTGCACTAGGAAGATTTAAAGGAATAAAATGTCAACGTAAAATATAAAAACTAAAGCGAAACCTGTTCTAATTAATAATACGAAAATTTAAAATTTATCTTTATATAGGGGGTCTTAGCACCAAACTTTTACTTTGGAACGTCGAAAATGATCTTGCATAACAGAACCAACACACTTTGAAACCTGTTTCAAAAATACGTAAAAACTGTCAAATCGAAATCTCTCCGATTTATACGTAAAAACTGTCAAATCGAAATCTCTCCGATTTTTTTCACAACGATTGTTATACACAATAATACTAGTTATCTGAAAAACAATTGAATAGTTTGAGTGTTGGACTCCAGTCTGCAGGCCGCGTGGATTTCCGAGAATCCCAGTCTAGGAAAACCGACGTTAATCTGTGACGGGAAAACACGTATCTGACGACGAGATTAAAAGTTTGCAAATTTTTTATGAGTTTTTATGAATTTCGCCGGAACATGGACGCAGATAAAACCGACGAATGCATTGTACATAGTAGTACACAGAATATGGTAAAGTACCATCCAAAGTGTCTAGGTAAGTAAATTTTTATTGTGTGCTAGGCTGATTTCCTGTTATAGTGTCGTGAATATCCTTGTTCTGGCTTATAGTGTGCCAGGTTTCCGTATATGTTAATAAGTCACGTGATATCCCACCTTTGCATATAAAAGTTGATGCTGTGCGAAACATGCTATGTAGAATGCGTGAAGGACAAATTGGATGTGGCAGAGAGCAAACGTAAAATGTTATGAGAGAAATGTAAAATGTAGACACGTCAAAAAAGCATTTTCCCACAAAACAGTTGTCATTTAACACTTAACATTTGATGTTTTACATTTAACTCTTGTGTTAGAGGTATTTTGAGTTTATCATTATCTGTATTAGGACTTTGTACATTGTACTTTTTACATATAACTAATGGGAAAGACATTGTAGCAGAGAATTTAATATTGGTAGCGATACCCTTCCATACACTAGTACGCATACTAGCAGCGAAGTTGTTTATTTTGCCCGAACAGTGGCTGTATGCCTACACTTATTTAGAATTCCATCTGTCAAGGGTTCTTTGATGTTCATGTAAATGTTTACACGGGACCTCAGGGTCTCGTCCCGCCAAAAGGACTATACCTCCCAACCGTGATCGAATACGGGACCTTAAGGTTAGCCAGCCAACGTCGTACTCATTGGGTCTCGGTGGCATCACGTGTTAAAAAGACTCCAAAGAACGTTTTTCGATCCCCGTAATATCTACCCAAACTTGCCATACCTTTTTTTTTATTGGAAACTAGCAAGATACCCGGCTCCGCCAGGGGCCCAAATTCGCAGGGGGTCCAATTCGCCAGGGGCCCAAATTCGCCTGGGGCCCAATTCATTCAGAGCCTAAATTCGTCCGACTAAGACATCCAGGGTTCATGCCAGTTAAGTTGATACCATATAATATGGGGCGACATAGATACACGCTTTGATTTTATATATATATATATAAGTGACAATTGGTATTGAGATTGTAATATTTGTCCGTAATTTTCTATTTGCAATTAAATGAAATGTTTTATGGCACGTCATCTCCAACCGGGCTATATTGCGCCAAACATTATAAAACATTATTAAGAGACAAATTAAAACAATATCACAGAAATGTAAATAAAAACAAATATCACAGAAAATATAATTTAAAAACAAATACATCAAATCCTTTAAATAATATGGGGTTTAACGTCCTACTGTTCTGCTCCTAAACTGGGCTAATGAAGACGGGCAAACACCATACAGTGTGCTATGAGGGAAATTTTGCCCGGACAGCGGCGCTACGACCTACTCTTATATCGAATTCCAACTGCCAAGGGATCTTTTACGTGCACGCCAATATGTACACGGGACCTCGGTTTTTCGTCCCATCCGAACGACTAGACAGCTGTCCTTGTCAGACCCTCCGTCCTGCATTACTGACAAGGGGAAACCACGCCGAAAAATCCGGATGAACTTTCTCGGCCAATGCAGGGATCGAACACCCGACCTTCAGGCTAGCTAGCCAGCGTCTTACCCCCTTAGTCACTTGATCCCCCTCAAATCCTTTACATATATAAACATTTAAAACGTAATACATGATAAATTATATACAATTAAAATTTTAAATAAAAGTTTGTCTCTTATAAAAAAAAAGTCAAGCAATTTAGAATATACAAAAGTCAAGCAATTTAGATTAAAGACCTGATTGGGCAAACAATTGATGTAAGGAGTGGCAACTGTAATGATTTAATCTAATGTCTTTCAGATGCTTGCACTCAATCAAAATGTGTTTAACTGTCAAAGGAACATGAACAAATTCTGGTTGAGGCTCTCGCTTTAAAGGACAATATTGGTGCCAGTCATTATCACATATGTGATAGAGCTGGTTAAACACATTCCAAATATAATTTTAACACAGAGATCATTGCTACGATAGCTGAGTAATACAGGTTTCCTGAGTCGGAAGTGACGAACGCCAAAGGAAAACACGAGTCATCTCTCTATATAACTGACTGATGTGACGAGTGAAAACGGATATACGGCCGAATTTCTGCTCACTAATAATTCCTTCGAAGACCACAGGAGCTTGAAACCTTACTCTTTATTTTATTTATCTTTTTTTTTTTTAAATTATGAGATTATTGTCTAAATTAGTCTATTATGACTCGTGTCATCAAATTTGTGATGTCATTTAAAATTATGGATCGAGCCTGTATGCAATAAACATCCACATCATTTCATTTTAATACAATCAATTATATATACCTTAATTTAGTCTTACACAAATCATCCCTTTTCTTTAATAAACAAATTGCTACCAATCCAATCTACATGTTCAAATGTGATTATTCGCGGTCTAATCAATATCATCTATTCTATTATTTAAACAAAGTACATTTAATACAAACATGTTTACCTACTATGGATTGCTTTTCTCTTTGCCTCAAGTAATGACAATGATTTCACTGTTAACTTGATGAGGGAATTTGTGGTCTGTGATTAATAAGAACATTACTAAATAATCGCCGTGTATTCAGGTTAACGTTGCTATTCGGATTTGCTATTGTTAACGCTGTTCTGTCTATATTACTAACCAAAACATACAAAAGAACATAAAGGGGTATCTTCAACTTGACCAAAATCAATACAGAGGTTAAGTCCCTCTGTCATGCATCATTGACAAGGTGGAACAACGCCAGAACATCCCAGTGAAACTTCACGGTCAACTCAGGGATCGAACACGGGATCTCCAGGTTAGAGAGTCAGCGTCTTTGTTTTCTTTTATTTGATCAATAAATACATCCTACAAAATGTGCATTAAAATAATTAAAACAATAAAATATCAC